AGCCCCAGTGTGTGACAGTGATGGCGTCTGGTACCTGATATAGCTCTGGGCAAGTGATAATGATGCCACCCACCACTTTTTACAGCCTTGTTGTGTGATGGTGGCAGCACCCAGGAYGTGGTACAGCCGTGATGGTGACGGTATCTCGTACAAGCAGCGTGTCTGACGGTGACAGCACCTGATACTGGCACAGCCCTGCGTATGACAGCGATCCCAGCCGGTAACAGATACAGGGMAAGCGATAGTGACAGCACCCAGCACTTTGTACAGCCCCCTGTGTGCGACGATGACAACAGGCGACACACGGGGCCAGCGGAGCGGAGAGCGCTGCTGTGCCCGCATCCTGTACCGCATCCTGTACCCCATCCCGCATCCCGTACCCCATCCCGCATCCCGTACCCCATCCCGCATCCCGCACCCCATCCCGCACCCCACCCCGCATCCCGTACCCCATCCCGTATCCCGTACCCACATCCCGCATCCCGTACTCCATCCCGCATCCCGTACCCCATCCCGCATCCCGTACTCCATCCCGCATCCCGTACCCCCCATCCCGCATCCCGTGCCCCATCCCGCATCCCGTAGCCCCATCCCGCATCCCGCGCCCCATCCCGCATCCCGTACCCCCATCCCGTACCCCCCATCCCGCATCCCGGCGGGCGGGCTCTGCCCGGGTACCGGCCGAGCACCCCGGGCGCGGCTGCAGTGCCGCCTCCCGGCCCGGCACGGGGCAGAGCCGAGCAGAGCAGAGCAGAGCAGAGCTGGAGGCGGCCCCCAGCGCTCCGCCCGCTCCGCTCCGCTCCGCCCCGGAAGGCTCGGAGCGCACCCCCGGCGCCGCCGCGATGCTGCAGCTGCGGGACGCGGACGAGTCCGGCCCGGCCGGCGGCCCCGGCAGCCCGGGCAGTCCCGGGGCAGCCACGCTGGTGCCGGGAGGAGCCGGGCCGCCTTTCGAAGCGGCCTCGCCGCCGCCCCGGCAGACGCTGCGGCCGCTCAGTGTCCGCACCGCGGGCCGCGCCGGCCGCCTCCGCCAGTACTTCGTGTTCCGGGTGCGCTCCGGGAGGGAGGCAGGGGTGGCCCCGGCCATCGGCCCGCACCCCCTGACCTCTGCCTTCTCCCCCCGCAGCCCGGCACCATCGAGCAGGCCGTGAGCGAGATACGGGTGGTCGTGCTGCCCGCCGAGGACGGCGAGGTGCAGAGCGTGTGGCTGCTCACCGAGTGAGTTCCGCGGCGCGATGGGATGGGATTGGTGCCGGGAGAGGAGAGATGAGAGCCAGGGCAGCCTCGGCCCCGCAGGCTTGGGGCAGAGCTGCATATCCCAGAGCGCTTTTCTCTATTAAATCTGGGAATATTAACGCACACACAAGGCCCGGAGTGGCCCAGGCTGACCGCAGCCATCATTATTTCATTATTTGTGTATAACCCAGCCCTCCAGATACAGACCAACGCTCCCCAATTAACACCTTACAAAATCCAATCCCCCAGAGAACTCACTCTTCCAGTAAAGCACCAAGGTAGCTTTAACAAACTGACCCAAAGCCACGTGTGTGCAGCGAGGCACAGACGCTCAGCCCTGCATTTGCCCTGCTGATGCAAAGCAAAGGCTGTAACAGAACATACAGCAGTGCTAAGACTTGAGATTTGTTCTCCTCACCACCTCGTCTGTCTGCCAAGCTGTTGAGTGTTTCAAGCCAGGAGTCAAAACTACTAAAGCTCAGTCATGTTCTCTTCCCAGAATCGACCACTGGAACAACGAGAAGGAGCGTCTTGTCCTCATCACAGACTGGTCCCTCCTGGTCTGCAAGTACAACTTCATCAGCCTGCAGTGCCAGCATGTGACAAGGATTGCCCTCAGCGCCGTGGACACCATCTCTGTGGGGGAGTTCGAGTTCCCACCCAAATCTCTGAACAAGTAAGCAGCCACAGTCACTTGTAAGTCTTGCACAGTTATCAGGAACAGTATGAGCTGTCATTCTGAGCACTGGAAAGGTCTGAGAATTTTTCCTTTTGCTTGTTTAACTTTGCAAACAATTCCTGAAGCTTCATTAGAAGACCTCAGGGTAGCTGCTGGTTTGCTGGGATGGTCAGTAGCTGCACAAACAGGGAGTTGCTCAAGGGCTTTCAAGATAAGATGAGTAGATTTGGGAGCAGAAGCTCATCACTATTACATAATGCAGTATGTAGCAGTAGTACCACCTCAGTGTGATGAGAAAGCTGTGAATGTCAGGCCCTTGTCACAGGCTGTGAAGGGTGGCCATGCTGTGCCACATGTCCAGGAAGCTTCACCTTCTTGCTCTCAGCTCATAAGAATGTCCCTTTTCACATTTCAGGGGCTGAATTCTTGCATTTCCTCCCTCCAGTAAAATTTACTATCACTTATATTTCAGCTTCCAGTTTCAAGTAGGTCTTTTTCAGACAGAATATTTTTAGTTAATCTTGCCTCAAGGACTGGGAAGTCTTACCCTGTTCATTCTCCACTGTCAGGAGGGAAGGTGTCGGTATCCGCATTCAGTGGGACAAGCAAAGCCGCGCTTCCTTCATCAACAGATGGAACCCCTGGTCCACCAACATCCCCTATGTGACCTTCACTGAGCACCCCATGGCAGATGCTGACGAGAAGATCTCATCCCTGTGCAGGGTAAGGAATGGTCTTTTCAGCTTCAAGCAGCTCACTGAGCTCATGGGTAGACCCAACTTAAATTATTTTGAAGCAATACAGGAGTAAATCAAAATCAGTTACAGCAGAGATGGAACTCAGAGCTGGGTGCTGCATCTCCCCCGTCTGTAAATTTTGACTTGCAGGGTGGCCCCACTGCAACTTTTTCCAGCCAACCATAATTGAAACACAGAGGAAGCCTAAACTTCTGAAGGTGGAAAGTCCTGTAAAACCCAAAAGCAAATGGATCTTGGCTTGTTCCTGTTCTTGCTTGCCTGGCAGGCTGATGGGCTTTTCATCTAGGGCTGCCAGCTAATTAACACTGGCTTAATTACTCACTGAAAACTTTCACTGAGGTGGTGCTCAGTTTTTCTTGTAATAAATGCTTCCCTCTGAAGGTTTTCCTAAAATTATTACACTAAGTGTCACACATCAGTGATCAGGGCAGAACCACAGTCAGAAATAAACACTTGGTCRCTGATACATCTTTACCCATCCAGCMCATTTAAGTCACACATCAGTAGTGTCCTGTGTGAAATGACCTGAATCATTGAGGTTAAATACCAGAACATAAAATCCTGACAGCTACAGCTTTAATGCTAATCCTTCACYATTCCCTATCAGCAGCAGTTTGTCTTAATAGTCTGTAAAGCAATGGAAAAGCAAGGTGATTTCTTTTCTTCCAGCTGGAAAACTTTCAAACGCAGCTGATCCAGGCTGTGAAGAAAGCCCACAAGGAGGGCCCAGTGCCTGGAAGCACTAATGGGGTGTTGGTGCTGGAACGGCCCATCCTCATCGAGACCTACCTGGGATTGATGTCCTTCATCAACAACGAGGCCAAGCTGGGCTACTCCATGACAAGAGGCAAAATTGGATTTTAAACCCCCTTGCCTGTCCTCTGTTCAAGGGCAAGTGAGTTGCTGGTGGTGCCCAGGGAGCGGGTGCTGAGGGCAGAGCACGTGAGAAAGCCAAGTTGTTGGGGGAAGGAAATGAGGTGGTTGTAGGACAGCTCCTGGTTGTTTGGGGAATGCACAGGTTGGATTTGAAGCAGACACAGGGTGGTGTCAGTCTTGTATTTTGTACCCGATTTACAGCCCTCACTGGTCCTTGTGCAGGGTGAAGGAGCAATGGTGTGTTCCGTGTCCCAGTGCCTGTTCTTCCCTGTCCATGAAGTGCCATTGGAACCTGCTAAAAACCCCAATGGACAGCAGAACCTTTGTGCCACGGCCCTGCTGTATCCCTGTGTGTGGTGTCAAATCCTCTAGTGTGCTTGGGACTGCTTTGGAACAGCAATTCCTCTTAACACAATCACCATGATCTCAGTGTTCTGGTTAATGCCTGTTAGGAATTTTTAAAGCTGTCAGTCAGTCTTTAACAGTATTTGCTGGCTTTTGCTAAAGCTGCACTGTTCCACCTGCTCAGCAGCAGTTTGTGAACTCTGAGTATGCATTTATGAGCTTCTTGTAAAAATCCCTCTAAGAACCTACTGGAACTTCCTTTCTACTTCAGTTTCTTTGCTGCAGCCACAGAATAAAGACTGTTGTGAGAGAACATTGCCAAAAGCCTCACAAACACGTTTGCCTTCAAAGCTGTTCTTTGTAAAACTAAGAAGGAATTCTATTTTGGTTAGATGGATACTCAGCCATTTTTCTTAATCTACTCTAGTTTGGGCCAGGACTTTTTAATGCAGACAGAGAAAACTTCCAGCACTGTGTGTCAGCCTTGGTTCATACCTTCCTGCACTGAACCTTTCATCCAGGGATGAAATTCAGAGCAGTCCAGGAGATTACAGCTGAAATTGCTCAGGAGGTGACTCTAACAAGCTTTTTCCTTGTGCATGACCTTGTCTCCATGCCCTTTCATCAGAGCATTTATCTGCTGGATAAACACTGTGCTGCGTGGTGGGGTTTTTTTGACCTTGATGTAGGTGAGTGTTTGTGAAACTCCTGTTGCAGTCCATCCTGACTCTGGCTTTCCAAGCTGCATTGCCCTTTTCCATACCTTTTTTTAAGTTATCTGTTCCATGTTCATTAACCTTGCAGTAAAGTTGAATTTAAACTCTTATTTGGTCTTTGTTCTTCATTTTCTGGAGACTGAGGCTGTGAAATTAAGTAGCAAAAGAAAAAAATATCCAGTAAATTCCTAAACAAGAGGCTCCCTCCTTGGTAAGAAGGAAGAATATCCAACTGCTTCTTCCCTGCCAAACCATTCACTCCCATTTGACACCAGAGTTGGGACAAAACCTCCCATTTCAGTTACCTGTAATTCAGCATCCAGAAATGTCAGTTGTGATCCCTCTGGTAGATTCCATATAATAAAACCACGGTGGTCCAGGCACAGTTACTGTCATATTATTTGTGTGCAAGTAACAGTTTCCTTGTGCTGAGACAAATCACTACATCATCACATCATCTATTACATTGAAACAGACTTTGAAGTGCAGAGGTGCAGATTTATAGTTTGTAACTATCAAAATATTTATTGGAAATAGAAAATTTAAATAATAGCTATACATTATATACACACAGAGCTACAGTCTTAGAAAATAAGGGTTCAGAGTTGAAAAAGAGATGTTCAACTCCATCAATACTCAGGTTTTCTTGCAATAGAGACTCATTCCCGATATATTTCACTTGCTACATTGCTTCATTCAAATACAGTCACAGTATTTCACACACTGAGCTTGGAGCTCCTTCAAATAAATAACTTATAAATACAAACACTTCAGACTGGGCAATAGGTTTTGACTCCTTTCCTCTTTCTTCCTCAGACTTGGGAGCACTTTTAATGCATTTTAGTTCTTTTTATTTTACCTCTTCTCCTTCCAAGTAACACACACAGAAGTTGTCCTTACTCACGAGCACCATGGAGTCACCACTGCAATGCCAGGAGAGAGACATGATCTGGAAGTCACCTGCAGGAAGAGATCAGTGTGTCAGCAAGGAGCTGGCAGCCCATCCTCCTGCTGGAGGAAAAGACAGCTGGAATCAGCCACACAAATCCCTGTTGGCCCTGTGCTGGCCTTGAGACATTTGCTGTGTCTCGTTATGAACTCCTCAAATGGAGTTCATAATGGGTGTGAAAACACCCATTTTTAAGCAGCTCCAAGAAMACACCTGAGCTATTTCCAYGYTTRGCTCTGTTTATAAATAGAATAATTYTGTCACAAAGCAGCTGCTGAAGKKYCTCACCTTCCCCAGGCACCTGCACGACCACACAGCCAGCTGGGGACCACAGGTACACTCTGCTGGTGCCTGTGCACACAGCCAGGCGGGGCTGGCAGGGATCCCACTGGAAATAGTGGATGGTGCACAGCTGCTCCAACACCACCGACAGCTTCAGCTTCCGGATGTCCCAAATCCACACAGCGTTGGGAATGTTATCTGTAGAGGAAGTAGCAATCGTGTGATAGCTGAAAGATAACACTTGTTCGTTTTTTTTTAATGGACATTAACAAACATAAATACAAGACAAACTTTTAGGTTACTGCCACTTGAGTTTTGCCAAGCAGAAGCTTCAGTTTTACCACGGAAATATTAAAAAAAAAAAGGTAAAAATGACCTAGTCCATCTCCCTGGCTTTTATGAAATTAAGTCTGATGGGTTTTGCACCTGACCCAGAGCTTTGGCATCCAGACATGAACAACCCCTCAAAACCATCAAAGGGAAAAATGGAACATTTATTCAATGACTTTCACTATTTAGGTAATCAGAATTTCCCTTGCTATAGGTTGTACAGAATTCTGCCTTTTAAGAGACCCAGGCTGTGAGAAGATTTGTGTGAGAAGATTTTCATTTTCAATACAATGAGCTCACACAAACTTGAAGAAATATAAAACCCTGCTATTTTCATTAAATACAGAGCCAAGGCTGAGTTCATGCCCTGATCAGCACTTCTGGCAGCTCACAACAGTTGACACACATTAGGAAGACAGGCTGGGTTTCCTCTTGGGTTACATATCTCACATCAGAGCTGATTTTACTGGGCCATGACTCTTTTTATAGTGCAAAGGATCATTTCTGTTAAGGAAACCCCCCACGTGCCACATGGTTTCCCCTGTAAGGCAGGGCAGTCGGAACTTACCATTTTTGGTTGCCAGGAAACAGTTATCTGCACTGAAGGCCAACATCCCAACTCCCACTTTGGGATTTGCCCTGTCAGCAACGGGTTTGATGTACTGTAAAGAAACGGGCACCTGGGAAATGTCATCTGGAACAGGAAATAAAAGTACTTCACTCAGTGAGCCTGGATGGACAATGCATTTAAATGCAGCTAAAACCCCTCATCTCTGAAGTGACAGGACCATATTTTACTCTTCTCCAAGATATTCCAATCAAAATTTCAATTGCTTTAAGCTTTCACATCTTCACACAGCTATCCTACTACTATTCCTGCCCTCCTAGACAGAAAAGGAAAGGCTGGAAATCCAGGCAAGACTGAGATTAAATCAGGAAAATGAGGAAAGATTAATTTTTCTACTACCTTTGAACTAATATTTCAAACAGAATTAACCAAAGGTGATTTACAGTGCCACAAACACTGAGACTGATTTTTACTGCCCTTGAGAACATCAGAGGATCTGTTCCACCATCCAAGGGGCAGAGTTCACCTACAATGTTTATTTATAGAAAAATTTCCCAAGGCAAACTCAAGTGTCTCATTTGAGTAAAATTTGGCTTACATTTACTCTTTGTGCTGAAGAGAGAACTATCCAATGTTCTTGATGGTGAAAAAGAAAATCTCTCTGTATCAACAGTTGGGGATTTCTCCACTTCTTTATACACAATCTACAAAGAAACAAGTGAGAGCTCTACAGAAGGGCCTTGGAAAGTTTGAACATGGACTGTAACCAAATACCCACATCCCACTGACTCATTTGCACATTTATTACATCTCAGCATCCCCTGGTTCATCAACAGAGGAAAAGGGCTTTAGCAGGCAGATATAAAATCCAGCATTCCCACTGAATCATGGGACATGATCAGAAAAACACTCCTGCAACAAATACAAAAATCTTGAAATCTACGAAGAAGAGGTCTGAAGGAGTGCACCTCATTCATTAAAGCAAAATAAATAATCCCCATTACAGTGGGAACACGAATCTCATTTTTGCAACCAAAAATCTTTAATTGGCTTCTATCATAAACAAATGCAAACCCAGTGCAGCACTGCAGAAGAAAAACAGCAAAAATATTTCAGTGTGCCTGAAACATATTCCCAAACACAAGCACCAGGATAAAACACACCAACTGCAATTCCTCTCTGTGTAGTGGAGATTAACAGAGCTATTCCCATTTGTTTTCCATGACATATTTTACACCTAACTGGAAGTAAAGGCGTTTTTCAGCTGTGAAAGCTTTGCTGAGGTGCTTTAATGTCTCATGCCTTGCTTCTGATTGAGAGGCATCACCAGAGTCATGTGAATATTGCAGAATTATAGTCCACACACACAAATTGTTCCAGGAGGTCTGTGCAGTCCCTCAACACTGTTCTTGTTACCTTAAGCGATGAGATCAGCTCAAGATTTTGGGAACAGCAGCTCTGCACCAATGGCTCAGAATCTGCCAGGCCTTGCAGGTACAGGTATAAAGGATAAAAATCTTTGCTGACTGATGTTCCAGGAAATGCTCTTTAGGTGAGCTGGATGAGCCTGTCCACACAGGATGGAAAATCTGAGTTCCAGCACTGTTTGAAGTTGGGAATTGTATAAAGCTGAGACAAATCTCTCCTGTTCAGTTTTCTTTCCACACCCCAATGTGTAATGCAGCCACCACCTACACCAAAATACACTGGCACATGACAGGAGCACCTGAGAATCTATTACTGCTCAAGCAGATCACAGACACGTGTTCATTGAATTTGAAAGAATTCCCACATTTTTGTTACATTTCCAGCTTGTCATGCAATTTCCCAAACCCTAGTGCAGGGGGAAAAGCAAAATCTCCAGAATGAAATGGATTTATCAGCATCTTTCAGATACAAACAGCAGCACCAAARCTCTGCTAACGACTGCAMGGATTTGGGATCCACACTTACAGTTTTTTTGCTGGCAATGGTTGCTGGATGGTCAAATTCCGTGATCTTCTTCCACGTCACATGGTTCAGGATACGCACCTGGCTCAGGAAGCATGGCAAGAGAAGACTGTTAGGGCAAAGGTCTCCAAAAGGTTTAGATAAAAGAGGCAGGAAACATTTCCCACCTTTTCATCAAAGCTGCCAATGGCCAGGAACTGGCTGCTGGGACTCCAGGCGATGGATTTGACACCCAGGGGCCACTCGTAGGCCCGGTAGGAGGAGAGCAGCCGCCCATCGAGAGAGTACAGCAACACCTTGTACTGAAACACAAACAGAGCCACTCTAAAAACAACAGTGCTGCTAAAAACCACAGGCAGGCAAACCATCCCTCCCAAAATCTGCCTCTTTAACATGCAGCAAGTTAAATACAAAGGTACAAATGGTTATCTATGAGTTAAGAGGCTTCATTGCTCTCTTTCTGGATGAGCACTTTCATTAACTGTAAAATCACTGTGCAATGCAATGTCAGTAAAGCTGTAGAAGACTCTTACATTCTTCCATTATTGTTCTTCCATTATTCTTTCATTATTTCAACAGCAGCTTCTGCAATGTTCACCTTTTTTGTTTTTTGCAAGATACATTAGAAATCATTTTCTGTCATTGAAGGTTGACAGAACAGGACACCCATCCCCAACACAAGTGTAATATTTAACAAAAGCTTTTAAAATTGTTAAAAGMAATTTAACAAAAATTAATTCACACCCTTTAATGTTTGAAAGAAACATTTAAAACACTAATTGTTTTAGTTACTGCTTTTATACATGATGGCCAAAGACCAACTTGAACTCTTCAAGAAAATAATCTGCTTTTCCTCCTACCTCCAGGCATGTGTCCCACGCTGCCAGCACACAGCCATTGGGAGCCCACTCAATCCCAAACAGATCCTGGGTTTCAGTGTCAAAATGCTGCACCCAAAAGAGAAAAAACCACAAAGCCATTTAAAATACGTCAAGGAATTCTTGTTGCATCTAAGCTAACAGAATGTGCAGCTTTAACCTTTCAAGGTTAAACACAAAAGAGCTTTTTGTATGCCAGAGTAACAAAAGAAATATTTCCTCTTGTAATACATATTGCATTCACTGGATCTTTTCTTACAGAAAAGACAAAAGTTTCTATACCTTCAAATGAACAGCTTTACTTAAGAAAGTACACTGAATCATACTGAATCAGTCAAAAACCACTGAACCACTGAATCAGTCAAAAAAACACACTGAATCAGTCAAAAAATCCAGGAAGCCTAATTCATTTTCTTAAAGCCCAGTACAGGATCACAGAATCCCAGAATAGTTTGAACCAGAAGGGATGTTACAACTCAACTCATCCCATGGAGAAGGACATCCTCCACCATCCCAGGTTGCTCCAAGCCCCATCCAAACTGGCCTTGGACACTTCCAGGGATGGTGCAGCCACAGCTTCCACAACAGTGTTCATTA